AGAAGCACCATGCGAGGAGGTAGAGGACCTGGGCAGAAGAGGAAGAGAAATGGAAGTTATGTGTATCAATAGGAGATACTAATTTAACAAACAAATCTGTATGAATTTATAGCTTTTTACATGATGGATGTTGCCAGCAAAGAATTACTGACACTATTACTTAAGTGTTAGATCTTCCTTCTAGTATAACGTTAGCAGCAGCTCAGATCCCAGATGCAGAGTCAGACACAGTACTTTTTGGACATGTCAAATGTATTTGCCAGTGATTTAATGGATTCCAAACACCTGTTCTTAGATGCAGCAATTATTGATTGTATTGTAACATTCTATGATCTATTGATGATAGATTTAAATTTCATTAAGAAAGACTGAAGGCAAAAGAAGAGGATGAGATGATTAGATAGTGTCATCAATATAATTAACATGATTTTGGGCAAACTCTGGGAGACAGTGGAGGACAGGGGGGCCTGGCACGCTATGCTCCATGAAGAGTCAGACATAACTTAGCAACTGAAGAAGAAGATTTAACTATTTCCTTTGTGTCTAGAAAAATGGATAATAGTTCAGCTATTATTTGAAGTGACTGTGTCTCACTGAGGCCTTATTTCAGGATCATATCCCACATTGCCAAAAGAACAGAATCAGATGTCTGCTAGTTGAAACCAAGCAGAATTTTGAGGCTCCATTTCTAAATTGACCAATTTAATCAATTGACCATGGATTAATTTGGGAGCAGATGCTAATCTTCTGTATTAAAATTGCTACTGGGTTTATGAAATCTTGGGTATATTTGGCCTCCTTGATTCTAATATTTACTGATGCAAACAATTTCCTATGAAACTATGCAAGCTATGGAAATCAATATTATTCCTGATTTGACCTAAGTGAGGGAAGTGTCAGCCATTTCAAATGAAATTCAGGGCCAGTATTCCTCTTAGCTTCAGAATGACAGCATATGGCATTGCTTGGAATGAAACTGCAAATAAAACTTGTTTATTAAATTAAAAAATTCTTGCCCATATGTACACATTTTGGCCTATGTTTAAATCAGTTTCTGAACCCTGTGTTTGTTCTGGATCACAAGACCAAGAGTAGTAAGGTGATTTATCATTTTCAAAATTACAAGAGCAATTGAAGAAACAGGGACTCACTTGTGCTGGGTTATTTTTATTCATAACAATTCTACTGTGTTTGGAATATATGGAAAAGGTGCTGTTTGAGGACTCTGATTTATTTCTTTTCTGATGAAGGATTTTTTTTACATTATTTATCTAGTAACTTCTTATGGTGGAGGAAGAAATGTGTTTTTGGGAGGGTGTTTACTGAGGTGGACGCTTACATGGCCAGCCTTAGAAGAAAAAAATGTAGTTGGTTATTTCTGAAGAGTATAGAGATTACCAAACACTCAAGAAGGGGAAATATTAGGATAACTTGTTTTTTCATTAGGATGAGGACAATGGTAATCCAAGATGTAGTTATTTGTCTTACAGACTTATCTATTTTATCTTGTAAATTCATTTTATTTTCATGTAAGAGAATAAATTGCTTTGGGGAAACCTTACTGTCTACAACTGAAGTTACACATATGAGAAGCCAATCATTATAACAAGGGGCTGTATTTTAGAATCATATATGTCAGTAATAGAGGGCAGGATGCTGTCATGATTTACTCACTTGTCCAAGCACTGAAATTCCCTGCTGAAGTCCTATGAGGTCCAGCCTTTGAGAGAATCTCAGATAAGTAATTGATTCCAGATGTCAGACCTGAGTAGGTAAAATTAGTAGCATCCCTTCCAAGATGTGCTTGTGTTACTAAAGTACTGGATCCTGTGTAGTACAGTTTCAGTTCATAGCCATCAAGTCTTCCAGAAGCTGGTGCCCAGGCCACATGCAGCCTGTTTGGGTGCCCTTCATTCCAGATTTGCACAGAGGAAGCTGGCAGAGGAGCTGTAAAGTAATTAAGAATTTGTCTGATTAAATGAGTAACAGTAATTGACATAAATGGCAGCACATAGCGGCTACAGGGCATGGGAAGGTGGTAACGATACAATAGATTCTATATGGTGTGTAGTACTGCTAATTATGTTTCTCTGTATATATACAAATAAAAATATTTCTTAGATATATAAGTTGTACTTCACACAAAACAGAACAGTTTACAAAACAAGACAAAAATACAAAATTATAAAGATTTAAACCAGCAATCAAGAGCAATATCTTAAATCTACCAAATAGCAAACATAACTAACACTCTTATCCTGAGCAAATAGGAGAGTCTTGAACAATGGCAGAACTACAAAGTTGAGAAGGATAGGCATAAATCTTGCTTATATTTGATACTCAATTATCAATAAGACTGGTCAAAGTCATAATCAGAAAGTTGATCTATACTAAATCAAACCATTGAACCTTCCTACTCACTATTTTACTGTAAGCAGCTCTCTAGCTTTAACCTGAATCAGGTAGACTTAATCTTGAACACATACTTCTCATAGTTCATTTTCCTTTCTCCCAAAGGAAAATCACCCTGCTTTTCTCAAACAGGTATCTCTCAGATATGTTAAACATCGACATTTATATTTACCAACCATGCTGGCTGAAGGTTATGGGAGTTGAAGTCCAATACAAGGCACCAAGCTGAGACAGTGAAAGTGAAATTAACCTAACGACTGAAAATGGTAAGAACTTGCTGTAGATACCATTCTATGTGAATAAATCACCCTCTTATTTCCATCACAGTTGAAAGGATGTTGACCACATCAATATGCTAATATGTGAGCTTGCCTATCTTGTCTCCGACAGAATGCACATGAGGATTTAATGTATATCAATGTTGATAGGATTTTTGAATCTAACGGAGCAAGCACATTTACAGATTAGTACTTTCTGTTATTAAGACCTAAATTTCCTTTCCTCTAATTACATACAGAAAAGGGACCAAATCAGTCAAGAATAATAAAAACTTTGTCAACTTGGGGATATATCCAATTGTTTGATTTAGTAAACTTCAGGAAATGAAATGTGGTCAAGCATGTGGAAGAGTTGGATAAAGAAAATGGAAAATGGAAAAAAAACACTGAGGAAGAGTTGGGTAAGGAAAATGATCTGGAGAATAGAGTTGATCAAATAATGTTATAGTCTCATATGTATGGGTAACAGTTCAGCCTAGACTGTCAGACTCACATGTCCACTCAGCAGCAATGGTGGAGGAGGCCTCAGCATGTCCTTTCACTGAAATAACCTGCACAGCAAAATGGCTTCCTGATGGCAAATCTGTCCAAAGGAAATCCTGGACACTTGGGCCAATGACATGAATTCTCTTCATGCCTGGAGGATCCAGGCTATACAGGATCATCCTGTAGTGGTCCCGTCCTCCTGGAGGCTCAGTCCAAGATGTGTACAGCACAGATGAATTGCCCATATTATTCAGAGTCAGGTTCACAGGAGCAGCAGGAGCTGCAATCAGAAAGAAGTTTCAGTCAGAAGCTCTCTTCATGGTACAGTAATATACATGGTGGTGACGCTATGAAATTTAATCATTATCTTCCAGTGTGAACAAGACTGAACTGAAGAGTAGGCAAGTCCATGCAATCTAGGATCCATCAATATGAGAAACGTAGTCTAAAGAAATCTTTTTTTGCATCAGAATTCATTCATATTGACAAATTCAGAGATCAATTATCAAGGTGTTGCACTTACCTGTGCAAGCTGAGCTGTTCCGGGAAGCAGAGCTGTAGGGTCCAGCCAGTGACCACACTGCGATCAGATAGCAGGTCCCAGGGGCCAGTCCCACAATTGTAACGTTGGTGCTGGCTTTCCCCACAAACATGTGGTTACTGGTATCTGTAGATCCTTCTTTCGATACAGAAACCATATAACCGTCTCTCTGCCCAGCTGGGGGCTTCCATTGCACAGATAACACTGAAGAACTGTGACTGATTACCTTCAGAGAAAGTGGCAACATGGGCACTAGAAGAAGCAGCAGAGGTGACATCAGAAAATGTTTGCTGGACAAAAATTATTATACAAGTGCAAAGTCTCATTGGTTTTTTATTGTCCCATTAGAATAAATAAGATATAATTATAGGACAAGAAAAAGGAAGTATTAGATAGTAATGAATACAATATGGAATGTAAATATTAACACTAGAAAAGGTAAACGTTTCATTTATTGACTTAGTGGAACTAAAGGCTAATTCCTCTTCCAGTATTGTCTTTTATGACGATTCTGGGTCATTGTAAACTACTCTGAGTGTTTAAATAATCAGAAGAGAAGATGTAAATTTAACAATACTACAAACAGTAAATACAGGTAGTCCTCAACTTACGACCACATGATCATGGGAATGCTACAATGGTCATAAGTATGAAAAGTGGTCATAAGTCATTTTTTCAATGGTGTTGTAACTTTGAATGGTCACTAAATGAACTGTTGTAAGTCAGGGACTACCTGTAGTGGGTTGATCATGGTACAAAGAACAGAAATAATCCAAAGGATAATTATCAAAAAGTGATATTGGTTTAATCCACTTAATTTAAGATCTGTAAAGTAGAGAATAATTACTGAACATTCCCGATAGATGACTGTCTGATCTCCACTAAAATAAGTCATTGTATGGGATAGGGATAGCACTGGTGCAAATTCAAAAGGCAAGGGAGAGAAAATATAGAACTAATGATTATCTAGCTCTGAATAGCTCATTCATAATGCACCAAAATAAGGTACTGACAAGAAACAATAGCAGTTCTGCTCCTTCTATCAAAACCAGCAATTGGAGAGGGGCCTCTTAAAAAAATATGTAGTGCCAACCTATTTCAGTCAGAATAAACAGAAAGGGAAAAAAGGCAGAAGGAACCCTACATTATACCTGTGTAGCCAATGGCTGTTTGAGAAGAAATGTAGTGAGGTCCAGCTCTGGAGACAATTTCAACACGATACCGAGTCCCTGGCACCAGATTATCTAAAGTAACCTGTGTGGTTCCATGTGGTACAGACACATTCTGTATAATGGACAGAGATTCCTCTGAATAAAGCTGTACCCAATATCCTCGTCCTCTTCCCGATTCAATCCAGCTCACAATCAGTTGCTGGGGATTTTGGCTGCCCTTCACGCTGACATTTGCCAGAGATAGAGGATCTATAGTGATAAAAAGGTTGGCACATCAGAGTCAGATTTTAGAAAAAGGCAGGCATGATGCATTAACCTCACAACAGCTGATTCACAGAACATATTCACCAGCTCTGTGACATCTTGGATTCATTCTTCTTTTCAAGGATTTGCAAAGCTGGATATATTTCAGCAGACTTTCATAATATGAATTAAATATTATCTTGATAATATAACATATGAACATGAAAAGATACCCAGCATAAGTTAATGGCAGGTAACTAAGACAGTAGAGCAGGGGTGAGTTACCTAGAGTCTCCTAGTGCAGTTTTTTGCAGTTCCACTGACGTTATTGCAGGAAGCTGCAATTTTTTTGATGTATTTTATAAAATTCTCAGACATGGTACCAAGTGTCCCAATCACAATGGGTATCACTGTTCCATGTTTCATTTTGATGACCAAGTCACAATATTTCACAACCTTTTTTCCAGTTCTTTTTCTTTGACTCTAGTGTCTCCTGGTACAGTGATATTAATAAATTATTTGCTTCAGTTTTCGATAACTGTGATATCTGTGTTGTGTTGTGTTACAAATGGGTTCCATCACAAATGCGCGAACGACAAAAGCGCGCCTGACTAAACCGCGCCTGACTAAACCGCGCCTGA